CCAGTGAAAAACAGGTCAGTAGTGATGTGGTGGCAGATACCTAATACCTAATTTGAGAAAGTCGGACAGATTTCTCAAGGCTGATTTGGAGCAGAATTACCATTGTGTATTGAGAAGTGTGAAATGGTACAATTTACTAGTCTATGTAATGCCCTAGAGCAGTGGTCTCCAACCTTGGCAACTTTAAGACTTGTAGACTTCACCTCCCAGAGTCCCTCAGCCAGAAAAGCTGGCTGAGGAACCCTGAGAGTTGAAGTCCACAAGTCTTAAAGTTGCCAAGGTTGGAGACCACTGCTCTAGGGCATTACATAGACTAGTAAATTGTACCATTTCACACTTCTCAATACACAATGGTAATTCTGCTCCAAATCAGCCTTGAGAAATCTGTCCGACTTTCTCAAATTAGGTATTAGGTATCTGCCACCACATCACTACTGACCTGTTTTTCACTGGGTTCTGCCCACTGTTTTTTGTCCTCCCAGCCAGGAAGCTGAAAAGTTCAGGGTACTTTAACTGCTGCAGTAATATCACACAGCACATAATGGGTTCAGGCTCAGGGGAAATTCCACTCAAAATTCACATCAGAAAGTGCCACACAGAGAGCAGGAGGAGATAGGCAATTCAATACACTCCATGTACTGGATTATACTTTGTTAATATAATTGGGGAAAGGACAATCATTTGCTTAGGAAATAAAGGGACAGATGTTGTGCTAACTGTTTGAGAACATTCTAAAAGAATTCTTAGTATTCTAATCAAGAATTATTGCTATTTCCTCACACGTTAATGCACTGTTAACAAAAGAAATGGTCTGGAGTTCCACCATTACACTTTAACTTCAACCTAGAATTATACTTATCAGGTTTGGCAAGTCTCAACTAGCCAATGATGCTAATGTTAGGAAACTCAGGACAAATACAACGGACTGGCAGAATAAGTAGCAGCTAAAGCAACTGATTTCTCATTAATTAATTCATCAAGACAAGAGGATAGATACCCTATCTTTTAACAGTGTTTCCTCTGTGGCTTAAATCAAGAGTTAACAAAGCTTTTTCATCAATGAAAAATATTTATTGATGAATGACTGCTTAGTTCTTTTGACATTATAGAGATGGCCTCAATGTAATTTGGGAACGCACACAAGCATACTGGTGTTTAGAAATATTTGGAAATCTATGTCTATGTATCTATGTATTTATTTCCATTTCTTAAGCCGCCTATCTCAATCTATGACTCTGGATGATTTACAATCTAAGCTGCATAGATGAAAAATAGGTGTACAGAGTTAAGACGCCAAAAAGCTCTAGCTGTATCTATCCAAGCTCCCCTTTCTGTTCTAAGATAGTGTCCAACAATTCTATCTCTTCCTCCTCCACATTTTCCAGGTACCTCTTCATCTTCCTTGATAGCCTGCTGCTTAGCCCGGACAATAAGAGCTTCCAATTCATGGAATTTGCGTTCCATTTCTTGTAACTTAAGCCGCGCCTGCTGCTGCTCCCGCCTTATCCGCTCCAGCAGCTTCTTCCCATGCTCCTCCGCTACGCATGGACTTTGTTGCCACTGCTGTATGCGTTGTGGGAGGATCTCATAGATGCGGCTGAGAAAGGAAGGAAGGAAGGAAGGAAGGAAGGAAGGAAGGAAGGAAGGAAGGAAGGAAGGAA